CTTTGCATAATATATATCGATAAGCAACATGCAAAAAGAAAAAAGAGACATGAGAAAAATATTGCTTTACAAGCCTTAAGACTCAGTTAAAAAATTTTATATTTTGTGTATAAAAGCATTGTAATTTTTACTGATAATCTGCAAAATTTCATTAACATTTGCTAACTACTTTAAGAGTTATAGCATGAACACTATAACAAGCACAAAATGGTTATGAGGTTGGTCCTAGGGACCAAGCATGTACTGAAAGAGTTAACTGAATGTGGACAATATAATTTGGTTTCTATTTTTTTAAACCCTAAGATAGCTAACTTTATTTTAAGATCAAATAAATTAAGATCAAGTTTTTAAGATTAGAATTAAAATAAGAACTGAAAGTAAAAAAAAAAAAGTAAATTTGGTAGAAAATGTGAAAGAAGTGTTTCAAAATTGGGTTTAAACATTTTTATCATGTTATTGAATTTCAGAAAAATAAGTTCTTACCAAATTGAGATTAAAACAAAGGAACTTTTTATACAGGGTAAAAACCTAAATGTTTGGTGAGCTTACTTTTTAGAAGATCCTTTACCAGTTTTAAAAAAAAATTTCAGATCATCAGTTGACAAAAGCTAAGAAAAGGGGTACTGTCATGAGTTTAAAAAGATTATCAGTCACTCCAAGGAAGTGAGATCATGTGAAACATTTCATGAATGTTGGACAGTTATTACAGAAGCTAAAACTCTTGCCTATTCATAACCAAAGTAATGTTACTTTTGATAATATAGTTACTCAAATTTCAGGTTTAGCATTTTATGATTCCATAGCTTTGACCCTAAGAAGATGCAGAAAACGTATCTAAAAATAATTTTTGGCTATAAAACATCTCGGTTCATTGTGCAGTTTATGTAAAAATTAAAACTTCCTGGATAAACATCACAATTGTAGCTCATAAATGGGAAATTTCTTGGTTTTTCTGTATTTACAGATTTGACATTTTAAATATAAGAAGGGTGAGATCTATTTACTGTGTCATTTTCTTTCTATGAACATTTAAGAACAAAAACCATTTCATACATTTTAAAAATGATTGTAATTAATTCTTATAGTGCGTCCAAAAAATGTATTCAGCAAATGCTATAGAAACATAAAGGATTAAACAATAATTATTAACTACCTGTGGTGTAACTTGTATGCATTTATAAAGTATAATGTTGATATTCAGTGGGTCTGTTTCTTATTGTAGTTCACCATTAAATATAGTAGGGGTATAAAGTTAATATATATGACTTTTATCTTTTCATTTAAAGTGTGAAGAATGATTATGAAATGAGGAACAACTTGCATCTTTTTTTACATAAGATATTGCTTTCCAATGGTAACTGTATAGGCATCTTCAGTGCAACAAATAAATATAGAAACTGTACATATATATACATGTGTGTGTATATAAATCCAAATTTTCACTGGTGATAGCTACCCTGTGTGACAGATTACGGAGAAATTTCATGTTTTAGTTGGAGTTATTTATATAAACTGAAGAAGGTAGCTGAAACTAGTACTGTGAGTAATAGAAGCAGTTGAGGAAGAAATTTGGTACATGAATGTACCATGTTTTCTTATGTTCTTGTAATAATATAATAGCTTATTTTGAATTTATTCTTTTTTTCTGGATATGAGCAGTTTTCACATGGCAAGATAACCATTAAGTTGATCTTGTTTCAAGTTTCCCCCATTTCTTTGTTATATTCAAAGTAATTAATACCACCTTTGGAGAACACTGCTTAATGTGATCTTGTGTAAGGATGTTGACAGCAGTGTCCTTCTGTGGTTGTACAGGTGATACAACATAATGTTTTGAGACCTATTGGTCCATCTCAGCTGTTCCATCTTCTAAACTAAACTAAAATAATTTTAAAAAATCTTAAAGCCAGCCCTTATCATTCATATACATATCAAGCTTTTTCTTAAACTCACTTAAATTTATTCACAAAAACATAACTGTTTAGACTAAATAGCTTAAATCCCATAGCATTATACATTTATATATATATTTAATATTTTTATTATACATTGACCTTTCGGCCATGCCTGGCTAATAATACAGAAGTTACAACGACACGGCACACATGCACTCATGTTACTGTATCAAATAAAATAAAACTGACCTTCGGTCAGTACAAAGTAACTTGTCGTGGCTGTGTTTTTAGTAGACTAGTATTTTTGTAAAATACAGTCACATTTCAATTATTCTACTTATAAATGTATATAGATTATTGCTATTTTGAAATAAGTTCTTAAACTTATTTTTCTTAAAATATAGAACATGTAACTAAAGAAGTAAATCAAACAATTATCTCCTCTAGTTACAGCCTTTGTACTCGTTTGCTGCTTGATGTAGGTTGCTAAGCCTTTAAAAAATTTACATGTGGAGGATATGAAACAAAATATCTTTTTATAGGTTTTATATATACATTTGAATGACTAAAAAATCATAAATCACTACATTAATATCACAGAATTCCACTATAATTTATCAAGCTTAGTAGCTAAGATGTATTTTACTCTAAAAAAATATGAAATTTCAAGCAGACTAAAGACACACCCTACCTCCTTGAAGTATTGGTTCAAAAGATAGAAATGGTGCCAAGACCATTATAATGGCTGAGAAATCCACTAGGAGGACATTCCGAGCTTCTGATTGGTTATTCATGTCATATATAGAAGTAAGTATATATATATATA